CCGGCCCAGCAGCGGCCCGGCCCAGCAGCGGCCCGGCGCTGCGCTGCGCAGCCCCTCGGGACCAGCCCGCGGTGGTTGCTGAGATGGACCTTAACAACTGAAAGCCTGGGGCAGCAAGACCTATTTGAACAGATTCCCCCGTCTTAGCCGCGGGGAAGGGAGCGTTCCGCACCAGAGAGCAAATCGCTGGGGTGGGTTTTAGGAAGACTAAAGCAATGTTGGAGGCCTGCCCGGGGTTAGAGTCGGAAGCTGAGCCAGGAGCAGAAGCTGGGTCTCGTAACGCCGTTCTCCGGGACGAGACAAACTCCCCCTTGCACGACCTGCCACAGCCGCGGAGCGCCAACACAACACGGCCGTGTGGGCCAGAACCGCCGCCCGCAGCATAGGTGCAAGGAGTAGGAAACGGTGTAGATCTGGCTATATTAGCCCCTGGATTTTGGCTACAGACTGGTAAATTAAACCCGTCAGGGAAAGTTTTTTTTTCTTTTAAAACCCATATCTTATATTGAAGGAAACACATCCATTCTAGTGTTGCTGTAGAGTCCTTTACTGAAGGCATTCAGGCACGCGGAGACTGGTTTTTGTCAGCAGCGAAGATCAATGCGTGGAGGAAAAGTGGGGGGCAGAAGGTGTGTGCTACACAACCAAACAAGTAAAACACCCATTTTAAAGGCTGTTAATGCTCTTAAAATAGGACATTTTCTCCTAATATGGTGCATCTCTCTTGAAAAAGGACAGGAGAGTTGTAACAAGGAGGACATACCTGATTAAGTTGACAAACACCAATTTAGAATAAGATACTCGACCTCAATCCGCCCAAATTTGGGAGAAAAAGCAGAGTAATTAAACGACTTATTACAGGGTGCAGAGTGGGTATCTCCTACCTAGGGCTATGCAGCACAGGTACTGAGCTCGTGCCCTTCCCAGCACCTACATTCAGGTTTCTGAGGGGGCACGGAGCGGCAGAGGACACGAGAACGCTTGAAAATTTGTGGAAGTGGCTTAGTCAGACACAGAGAGGAAGGGCAACACCAGACACAGCACGTCGTCAGGAAAAACTGTTGCAACTCCACAGCAGTTGGCTAGAGGCAGCATCTCCTGGCTACTACAGCAGGAGAGCGAGTGCAAACCGTGCTCTCAACCCTACCGCCAGGCTAGGACCTGGCCGAAGGGGGTCACTCGGAGATACGAGTGCAGGTCGCAAATGTCTCCCGGTATCCAGGCGCCCTGAGGAGTCGGCAGCCTGGCAGCGAGGCGTCTTGGGCAGCAACAGGATCCTTCGTTTGTTTTTCCTTCAGGCGAAATCTCACACTAAAGCAAGCCCCCTTACTGCGGGGGTGCCGGAGAGACCTTTGCTGCCGCGCTCAAGGCACGGCGCCCTCGGCTGCAGAGGAAGCCCCGGCACAAACACAGGCGCCGCGGGCAGCAGGGGCGGCGGCCCCCACCGGAGCGGCCTGGCAGAGCGGCAGCGACCCCCTGAC